ACCTTGGGTTCTTTATCACTGTTAGCACATTCTCACCTCCCAGTTACCCGGTAGAGTATGTGTCACCACCCCCATTGTACAGTGTGAATGCAGAATTGCAGGTAGCCACAGGCTTCTCCAAGACAACATAGCCCAAGGCCAGGCTGCCACCTGTCTCTCTGGCCCAGGATTTGCTCTGTGCCAGGCTTGGTGAAAGACAAGACCATCCCTTCCCCAGAGAGATTTGAACTCTATTGGAAAGAGGTTTTATCAGAGGAACAAGGAGAGGAGGGCAGTATCACCCCATTTCATAGTTCACATTCTTATTTTTAAGATAGGGCCTCACTGTAGCCCAGGCTGGCCTTGAATTCACAATTCTCCTACTTCCACCTCTCTTGTTCTGGGGTTACAGCTGTGCATCACCACACCTGGCCCTGAGTTCAGGTTTTAGATAAATTGAGAGCCTCCTGACATGTGGCCCCAAATGAACCATCTTTCTAGGCAGAGAGAATACAGAAAATGAGCAGGCTGAAGGCCACAGATGGGCTGGTTTGGGCTAGCCAGAGCTAGTGGGATGCTCTGGCTGGTAATGGTGCCACTGGTCCATTTGTTCCTTCCATTCAGCCTGGTCCACCCTGAGAACATGTGGCTCTGGTCTGGTGTGTAGGTAAGGCTTGGGGTCCTGCAGCTTCCTGGGGGAATCTTCCTCAGGGAAGGTGCTCTTCCTGGCCCACCAGAGGGAAGAATTCTGAGTCAGACCAAGAGGAGGTACACAGCCTGCCCCAGGCCTTTGCCATATCCCCCCCCCTGCCCAGACTAGGCCCTGCAACTACCCCTCTGCCTTTCATTCCTTGTTATTTGTGGGTGTGGGTGCCAGGCCCTTGGGTTGGCACTTGGGGTAGGACTCAGTTTTTACTTATAGGATACTCACAGTCTGGAAAAAGTAGTAGATGGGGTCTGGAGAGATGGCTCAGCAGTTAAGAATACGGCTGCTCTTGTAGAGGACCTGGGTTCAGTTCCCACCACCTACACGGTGGTTAACAACAGTCTATCAACTCCAGTTCCAGTGGATCTGTCGCCCTCTTCTGACCTCTGTGGGCATTGCATGACATTCTCAGGCACTACACTCAGACACATGAAATAAAGATAAAAACTTAAAATGAAAAAATAAAATAAAATAAAAAGCCGCAGACTATACCCTGTGGACTCTCCTAATAACCCAGCCTCTGCTAGGGCCTCTCGCTCCCTGCCACCTTCCCCCACAGCATCCTCCTGAGGGTGTACTTAACCCTAGCTCACAGATAAGGAACCTGATGCACAGAGAAGAGCTCATAGGTAGTAGGAGCTCATAGGTGGTAGGAGCTTGGGCCACAGTCAGACAATCTGGCCCCAGAGTCTGTGACTCTGCCCCAGCTCTGTGCTGCCTTGTATCCTGAAAGGGTGAGACAGATAATCAGAGATGGATGGTGTGGGAAGTGAGTGTGGTAATAGGAGGGGAGGAGTCAGCCTAGCTGAGAGTGCCTCTAGGAGTTAGTAGAGGAGCCGAAATGCCAAGATGGAGGTATAAGCAACCCTAACAGGACTTGGGACATTAGTCATGGTGTTGTCTGTAATCCACTTCCTATGGCTGAGTACATAGCTGCCCGCATTTCCAAAACAGAATAGTTATAAAACAGCTGTTGACGGTGTTCGTGAATGCTGTAGGTCAGGAATTGGACAGGGCTGGAAGGGGCAGTTTGTCAATGCTCCAAGCTGTTAGCACCCCAGCAGGAGAACTAAAAGGTTAAGCAGGAGTCCTGGGAAGGCTTACTCCCTCATGTGGCTGATGCTGGGTGACAAATGTGGGCCCTGTTTTCCACACACAAGCTTCTCATTATGTCTCTAACGTGGGCTAGCTTGTGCTTCCCCACTGTGTGGGAGTTGGGCCCAAGAGCAAGCTCTCAAACCCAGTGCCAGATGTCACAAAATGTCCTTCCACTCTCAGTCATCCAGGTCCACCCACACACAAAGGGAGGGAAGAGCCCACCTTGTAACGGAGGATGTCAAGGTCACTGAGACTGTGGGGCTCTAGAGAACACTGTCTGTCACAGTATCACTGGACCTCATTTACGATGGATACTTCTGGGGGCTGGAGAGCTGGCTCAGTGGTTAAAAGCACTTGCTACTTGGAGAGGACCTGAGTTTGGTTCCCAGCACTCAGGTCAGATAGCTCACAACTGTCTGAAACTCTAGCTCCAGGGGGGATCTAATGCCTCTGGCCTCTGGCCTCATGGGCACTTGCACACGCCTGTGCACAGACACACATATAATTAAGAATAAAAGAAATCTTGCTGAGTATGGTGGCTTATACCTTTAGTCCTAGTACCCAGAAGGTAGAGGCAGAAGGTCTGCATAGTGAATTCCAGGCCAGCTGTGGCTACAGGGAGACCCTATCTCAAAACAAACAAACAAACAAACAAACAAACAAATAAATAAATAAATCTTTTTATTTAAAGAAAGAAAAAGAAGGCTGGACACCTCTGATCCACTTGGCTCTGTGTGGATTTGGAAGGGGGTTAGCAGCAGATCTCCATGGATTTGGCCTGATGCTCACCCCCCCCTTTCCCGCCTTCACATGCTTGTCAGTGAAAAGTTCCTGGAATGGGCCTCCTACTATCAGCAGACACTGGGCTGTCTCCATGTAGTACAGGCAGCGCACCAAGGGAGGTTGGGTCTGAGGAAGGCAAACAGCAACAGCAGAGGCTATGAAGCCAACGTGGCACCCGTGGAGGCCATCACTTTTCTGAGTGCTTTATACTTACAGTCAGCTCTCAAGGCCAGTGTTCTTCCTGCCCTATTGATAGGCGGGAAAACAAGGCTAGAGGCTTGCTCAAGTTATAAGTCATCTACTCTGTCATAACAAAGAGCTCTGGGCACTCTGGGCCATTTGTGTAGGGAGCAGCCTGGTGACCAAAGTCCTTAGTAGACAGTAATGGGGAGAGAGAGAGAGAGAGAGAGAGAGAGAGAGAGAGAGAGAGAGAAAGAGACACCCAGGAAGTTTCCTTTCCAAGTTGCTGGAGGCCAGCATCTTCCTAACAACATGTCAGCAGGGTTTTATGTGCCTCATGAAGACAGGTGAACATCATGCCTGAGTTGTGAGGAAGGACCAGTTCCCTTTCAGGGTCGTGGACCCATGTATTAGTGGCTTTTCTGTTGCTGTGATGAAACACCATGACGAAGGCAACTTATAGAAGGAAGCGTTTATTGAACTGACAGTTCCAGAGGGATAAGCATCCCATGGCGGGAGGCCTGGCAGGAGGCAGCTGGATTAGCAGGTAGAGGGCTCACATCTTCAAGGCACAGGAAGCAGAGAGAGAAACTGGAAATGGAATGGGGCTTTGAATTCTCCAAGTCCTGCCCCAGTGATATGCTTTCTGTAGCAGGGCCGTGCCTCCTAATGGTCTCATGACCCTCCTCAAACAGTGCCACCAAATGGGGACCAAGTGTTCAAATACTTGGAGCCTATGGAGGACATTCTCATTCAAACTACCACAACTCATGAAACCAGTCAGGGATTTTTTTTAATAGAGAGATATTTCTTTTCCACCTCAGCATTCACGAAGTATGGTCATGTATGGCTGAACTGTGTATTTCTTTAAGGTAACAGAATTTTCTTTTTAAGGCTGCTCCTTAGGAAAACAGAATTTTAAATTTATTTTTAGGGGTGGGATCCAAGGCATTAACCAACTAGGTACATACCCTGACACTGAGCTGTACTTAAGCCCCAGTATAGCATTTTTAAGCAACTGGGGTATCTCAGTCTCTGATTTCAGTGTAAAGAGCTCTTGGTCCCACAGCCCCACTACACTCTGAGTAGTTATACCCCAGAGCCCGAAGCCCTGGAAAGTGTCTGCCATTTAGGGTCTGTGAATGGGAGGACTTCCACTTCTGTGAAGGTCACTAGAGATTTCTCAAGCTGGAGTGTGGCAGAAAGAGCCTCCAGCCCAAATGACCCTCTGAAGGCACATGTGACAGTTGGTGCTGCTGGAAGGTGGCATGAGGTGCAGACAGGGACCAAGTCACCATTCAGAGACCTTGAGTGCCAAGTAGCATAAAAGAGCATTGAAGGATTCTGTAGGGAGTGGTGGAACCAAATGGGAAGGAGTCCTCCGCAGGGCTGTCGTGGTCTTGATCTTACCCTGCCCCTTGGCCTTGTTCTTTGCCACACATCTCCCTTGTTCGTGTTTTTGGCCCTGCACTTTCTTTTGCCTTCTTCCCTTTGTGGTACCTCTTACTTTTTCTCCTGTGATCCTGGCAGATCTGTGGGCTTCTAGCACCCTGTGGGCAGGAGCCTTCGTGGAGCTGACTGCAGAAATCCTCCAAACAGCCAACTCTTCAGTGTAGCCTCGGCACTTACAGCACACTTTTGTGATCACTCACTGCCACAAGCTCTGGGTCTTTGTGATGACACTGAACTGTGTCTCCTGCAGAATGAACCCATACAATCCCTGAGATGTTTACACTGTGTTCTGAGTGCCCCTTGGGTTTCATCACAGCTTAGAAAACTGCCTCTGCCGGGACCGCTGTGAGGTGTGGAAGAGCCACAGGTTCTGTTTTCGTTCTTGCTTAGAATTTCTCCCAAGAAGCGGCCTTGCTGTCTTTTAAAAGTGTAATACATAACATACCAACAATCGGGTAGATAAAATTATCAAGTCATTTCGCCCCAGAATTGGCACACTGCCTGCCCTCCCCAAACCCCAGCGCCCTCTGCCTTTAGCCTCTCTATACCAGGCTGAATCTGTGGTTGAATCTTTCTTTTGGGTGTAACCACCAGTCTGCACAGTATGATTGCACCATTCCTGGTTTGAACTTAGAAATGTGAAGTTAACTGTGCAGACTCTTTTGTACACCATCGTGTTCCAAGACTCCACCCGCCGCCGCTGCTACTGCCACCGCCTGTGGCTGTGGCTCTTGCCCTTTAGTTCCCATCAACTGGCTGGCTGTTCTGCCAATCTGAGCACTTTCCTATGGACTTTTCACAGCCTTGGTCATCTATAACTTCCTGAGCCTGTGCTATGAGTACCTTGGGGGAGAGAGCTCCATCATGTCAGAGATCAGAGGGAAGGCCATCGAGTAAGTATGACTCTCCCCTGTGCCCCACACCAGCACCTCATAGCTGGGAAGCTTGCTTACCTCACAGGCTGCTGCTCTTGCAGACACCCTGCTGCCTTGCCCAGGCTTGTCTGATGGGGAAGGCAGCCTTCCCCGGCCCCACCTTTCCATCTCACAGCTCTCTGTGCCTGTCTCTCCCAGGTCAAGCTGTGTGTATGGCACATGTTGCCTCTGGGGAAAGACTTACTCCATCGGATTCTTGAGGTTCTGCAAACAGGTATGTGCCTGGCTAGGGGAGGGCCCCTCTGAATTCTGTCTTGGGCCCCATCTGTGGAGGTCCCATGTCTCCACTGTCCCCAAACTGTTCTGGAGACACTCTGTTAGCAGTGTGTGCTCAGATGGGCAGCTAGCATCCTGGAGCGTCTGGAACAGCTGTGGGCCATACCCAGATGAGCCAGTTACAGGGTCTTGTTTATTTTGACCAAATCTTGGTGTGTGTGGGAATCAGAGGAAATCCACAGGAATTCTAGACTCAGTTTGAAAACTCTGGGGCTGGGGGCAGGAGGTTTCAGGAATTAGAGATACGTAGCAGATAGGGCTGTATGGTCTCTGCCTTCTTCCCACATTCCCAGCTGGCAGTGCCAAGGTTTCTGGTTTCCTTGGCCACTACTGCCTGGCTAGAGGCTGTGTGGTAGTGGTATGAAGTACCTGGGTCTAGGTGTCTGACCAACTGAGTAGGACTTCCAGCTTTGCCTCTGGCTAACCTCTCTGAAATCATTTGCCTAACCTCTCTGAGCTTTAGTTTGCTCTTCTATAAAGTGGGTATGATGATACTTATCTCAGCTAAAAGGAATAGATGAGTCCTGGCCTACCGAGGGAGGTAGATTCTGAAGGTGTTTTACTGTCTTCATGATCTGCCCTTGGCCTCTACTGGGCCTCTGTCAGTCCCTCTAGCATGACCAAGGAGTCAGGAGAGATATGAGCCCCAGTTGAGGCACTACGACCCATTGGAGGGCCGTCCTTTTTCCAGCTTCTAGGCAGGACTCAGGGCCCACAGCATGGCCACCCATATAGCCTCTGTAGGCATGTCCAGGCTTCTGCTCTGCTCCTGGCTCTTCCTCCTTGAGGGTGTTTCAGAACCTCTCTCCTGGAATGGCTCTGGGAAACAGTTAAAATTGTCCTGGTTCAGGGTGGGGCATGAAGAGCCTTTGTTTACATGGTTCAGCTGCCCAGGTTCCAGGCCCAGCTGTGACTCACAGCTCTTTTGATATTGTCCACAAAGTTTGGATCTCATGATCTCTGGTTGGCCTTACTGTTACCTGGGTAGAGATTGTTCCCCCGCCCTGTGGGCTCTGATACTCTACTCTTGAACCTAGTCATGGTGGGGAGGGGCAGTGAGAGGAAAGGAACACACTGAGGCGCCCAGCTACTTCCCCAGAGCTCACAGCTTCATCATTCCAGAGCTACAGAGTGGGCCAGGTTGCCCTTGGGCCCAGAGCCCAATGTTCGAGTCTTCTGGGGCACTTGTTAAAAGTAGAAATTCTCAGGCTGGGGCTCCAACTCTGTGGTAAAGTGCTTGCCTAGTATATGTGAGGCCCTGGGTTCAATCCCTAGCCCTGCAAATGAAAAGGAGAAAGGGGGAAGGGACAGGAGGAAAGAGGGAGAAAGAAGAGAGGGAAGTAGAGTCCCAGATTGGTGATTCCCCAGTTCAGCCCAACAGAGATCTAGAAAGGACCGCCCCTCCTGGGATTGATATGTGATTCTGATGTCCAGCCTGGCCTTTGGACCCCAGACTGACCCGCAGTGGGTTAGGTGGTAGCTCTGGGGCCTGCTGGCTCGGGCTCCAGGGCTTCACTCACCACTTCAGCTCCTTGTACTTCAGTTTCCTGATTTGCTACTGGTGATGGAAGTCCATCAGGAAAGCAGCCTCTCCCCAGCCCACCAGGCACCTTGGCACAAACCTCTGCTCTTCTCTTTTCCCCAAAGTAGGAGGGCCCCCACTTCCTCTGGGTGGGGTCTTGGGCAAGGGGAGTTCTAGGTGGGGCTTCTTGACAGAAGCACCATAGCTCTGCCCCTGTCATGTGTGCATCTGCTGGGGCTCCCCCAAAAGCCACAGTGGGGCAGAGATGGGGTCCCAGGCTGGCTTTTTGCTCCAGCCCCTGGTCCTGTCTGGAGCTCAGGCCTGTGGATGGAGTTTCACTTGCCCGCCCCTCCTCCTCCTCACACAGGGCTCCTGGCTGACATTGACTGCTTTTAGGTCAGTGGTGAGTCTGGAGATTCTGTGGGTGCCACGGTCACCCCTTTGGTCTACAGAACGGTAAAGCCCGACTGAGCACATCCTCCCTTGTCTGAGAAGACTTGGAGAAGCCTGTACTGTGCATGGAATAGCCAACCTCAAGAGACCACTGCTCTCTGACTCGCATCCCCACATTTGCAACCCTGCGCTGTGGAGATGGGTTGTGTCCATTTTACTCAGGTGGCTGCCGGTCAGAGGCCAAGTGACTACCTAAGCTCCCAAAGTGAGCAGTCAGACAGGCCTTAATTCATCTCACCTTTCAGAATTCCAGAGCCCACATACTGGTAGAAGGTCCTTTCTACACTTGCTGCTCTTGCAGGCTATCTCCAGCTTGGTCAGACCCCAGCTTTACAGAAGCCCTGGTCCAGGCCAGAGCATGGGGCAAGGAACCAGGCAGGGTACATGAAAGGATGGAAAGAGGCCCTTGGCTGCCTGTGCCCCGTGTGACCAGTTCCTCAGGAGAGCCCATTTGCCCAGTGCACTAAGGCTTTCCAGCCCTGCTGTCCTCCCCAGTGTCCAGTCCCTGTCCATGTCCATTCTCTGCCCTGGGTGGGTCTCTTTATAAGCTGCTCCCCCTAAAAAAATGATCACATTATTTATTTATTTATTATTTATTTGTGTATGTGTGTGTGCATTTGTATATGACTTCACATAGGTGTAATACAGAGGACAGCTGTGGGAGCTGGTTGTTCTGTTCCACCGTGCAGGTCCTGGGTATCAAATTCAGGTCTTCAGGCTTGACAGCATGTTCAAGCTGAGTCATGTCACTGGCCCTTCCTTGTACTACAGTTTGTCAGGTGGTTTCCATTAAGAAAAACTGGTTTAGGATAAGCAGCAACTCTAAGTTTTATTATCTTTTACAACTATATATGACTCTATAGTACCCTAAAAAAATGATCACATTATTTATTTATTTATTATTTATTTGTGTATGTGTGTGTGTGCATATGCATATGCATGTATGCCAGTGCATATGCTGAGCCAGAAAATAACTTGCAGGAGTCAGTTTGGCAGTGAGTGCCTTTACCCACTGAGCCATCTCACTGGCCCTGAGGTGCTCCATCTCCATGGAGCCTGCCCCTTGCCATCTTCTTAAAGGCCCTTCTTCCTCCAAGTTCTCTCTGAGGCATCTCCTACCCCCTGGCCCACTGGCCCTATGTGGTTGGTCCTGTGTCCCCAACATCCTCATGTCTCCTTACATAGCTATGTTGCATTCTGCCTCCCCCTGCAGACAGCAGTCCCCTTGAGGCAGGACATGGGGCGTCCTCCTCTGTCCTGGCAACCAGCGTGGCCTGGCCACCAGAGGAGGTTCTTTTTCTGCACTCCTCCTTGACCCTGTCTCTTCCCTCCCCAAATAGGCCACCCTGCAGTTCTGTGTGGTGAAGCCTCTCATGGCCGTCAGCACCGTTATCCTGCAGGCCTTTGGCAAGTACCGGGACGGGGACTTCGAGTAAGCAAGGGCCCTCCCTTGGTGCCTGTGGGTAGAGTGTTGGCACAGAGGTAGTACAGTACCTAGAAAGATCCCATGGCTTTAACCTTCCCGAGCTGCATGGGGCTCAGGCCTCCCGGCATCTCTGCAGTGGCCGCCTTGTACCTGGTCTTTCATGCCGCCCAAGAGCAAGCTCTTAGCCTGTCATATTCATGTGCCCACCGCACAGCAGTATCTACACGGGAGCCATAACAGGCTGATGGCTGCTCCGAAACAGTTAAAGGAGCCCTGAGGGGCCAGCCTCCAGCCCCTAGATGTAAAGTCTCTACTATGGAAACTGCCCACACTTTTTCGTTTGGAGGTTAGTGAAAGCAACCTCACTCCCAACTTGGTACCTGTCAGCACTTCATAGACACTTCCTGTGATCTGTACCACAGCCCCACCTGGGCAGGTGAGCACAGTGAGGTCAGAGGGGAAGGACCAGAGCAAGCTTGGCTGTACTACTGTAACTTGTCACCTGGCATCAGGCTGTGGCCTCCAATATAGCCCCTAGTTCCCTGCAGTGTATATCAGGAGTACAGCAGTGGTGGAGGGCTGGCCTGCCACAGGCATACTCCCTGCACCACACTCCCAGTGTGCTTCTTGATCCCCTGTCCCCTTCCTCCAATGACTCGTTGTGCCCTGTTGGGGAGCACAGTCATGATCCGTGGGAGACAGAGTATAAGCAGGGCAGAGGAGGGAGCAACCCGCCCTAGCAGGGATGGTCCCAACCATAACATGCCTATTCCACAGTGTCACCAGCGGCTATCTGTACGTGACCATCATCTACAACATCTCTGTCAGCCTGGCCCTTTATGCCCTCTTTCTTTTTTACTTTGCCACGCGGGAGCTGCTCAGCCCCTACAGCCCGGTCCTCAAGTTCTTCATGGTCAAGTCTGTCATCTTTCTCTCCTTCTGGCAAGGTCAGTTTCCTTCCAGCCTTGTGATCATGGCGCCAACACCCACTTCCCTCTGAGCCCCATTCCTGCTTCTGTCTCCAGAGCTGTGGGGCCCAGGCCACAGGGCTGTCCTAGATTATCCTAGCCTGGAACTCAGAGACCTTGGCCACTGGGTACTTAGGAGGGGTGAGGCTTGCAGGAAACTTCAATGCAGCTCTGTACAATTGGTGATATCCCAGTTTTGTGGTTGACAGGTAGCAGGGAGAATCAGATTTCCAGAGGCCTTGGCTCTGTGTCATCATCGCTGCCCCACAGGAGCAGCTGAGCCCCATTCTCACCTTCCTGGAGTGTGTGGGGCTGCATAGAGGAAGGGGCCTGGGAAGGGTTCCGGTCCAGGGCCAGACAGTGCCTCTCCCTGTTCAGGCATGCTGCTGGCGATCCTGGAGAAGTGTGGGGCCATCCCCAAGATCCACTCAGCCCGTGTGTCAGTGGGTGAGGGCACTGTGGCTGCTGGCTACCAGGATTTCATCATCTGTGTGGAGATGTTCTTTGCAGCCTTGGCCTTGCGGCATGCCTTCACCTATAAAGTCTACGCTGACAAGAGACTGGATGCACAAGGTATGAGCCAGGCTCCTGGGGTAGGACCTCAGCTGAGGTGACCAGTTCCAGAGCCTCCTACCACCAGCATCTTGCAAGGGTTGACCTGTCTGTGTTAGGAAAGGGCTACAGAGATCAGGACAGAGGGGCCATCAAAGTCAAGAGGGACCCCAATTTGGTCCTAGAAGCTAAATCTACCTATGTCTTGCAGTAGATCCCAGCATGGAAACTATAGAAAGGCACATGCGTGTAATCCCAGCATTAGGGAGGCTGAGCCAGGAGAGTTACCTTGAGTTTTAGATAAAAGAAAATGAAGTCAGGACAGAGATAAATGAACAGATTCTCATGGGGTCCTGACACTCAACCCTGTCCATGGTATCTTTTCTGTTCTACCTAAAGTCATTTAAAAGAAACAAAACAAATAAAAACCTGCTTATTTGTAAGGAACTGGGCCAGAAGGTGGTAGCTTCTGACAGCATTCTTTTTATGCCGAAGCTCTGATCTTTTCTTGCTAGAGCACTGCTTCTCAATCCCTGGTGTGCAAAATGCACTGGAGAGTGCTTAGGAGTACAGCCCCATACAGCCCCACCCTACCTCGGTGAGGTGCTTCAGTGATGGATTGGTCAGGACCTATGAATGAGCCTCACAGGCTTCCTGGTGATTGAGTGATTGGGAAGTGCAGCTGCCTGGAGAAGCAGGGAGCCAGAAGGGCAGGGGGCCTGTTGGAGGAGGCTGGGACAGCCTGAGGCTGGCATCCCCAATGAGAGACTGCAGGGGAGCAGGGCACCTGTCCACGGCTTCTGCCCTGGGCTTGCTGTAGCTCTCCCCCATACTTGGGGCTCAGCAGGCACAGGGCTCCCTGATCTCCTCCACTACTCCAGTCCTGGGTGGGAAAAGGCCTGCAATGCCTCTGCTGGGCTGTGCTCTCTGGCACACCAGCCGTGGTGCATTGGTCACACCCCTACTCTGCTGAGCCACTCGCTGGCTGGTGCCCTCCTGCTTCCTGTTGGGCCCCAGCAGGAAAGATCTGATCAACACCCATCCATGTCTCTTAAACCTGGTTTGATAGAGCCTGTGCCTGTAGCAACATCACCCTGGGGCCTAGAGCCAGGCCACAAGGAGGAGGCTGGGCTGTGGCAGAGGGGCTCTGTGTCTTGGGGCTCTGAAGGCTCCCTGCTGGTGACCTGAGCTGTCTTTCTGCATACTTACCCTTCAGACAGCATCCCACTACCAGATGTGCCAACCCCAAGAAGAAATGGCACGGTCTATGGTGCCACCCACCCAGGGCAAGCTGCTCTTGGTGTGGGCTGTAGTCTACCCTCTAACCAAAAGTGCCCAGCCCTTCCTGGCTTCACATTAGGCTGGGGCACAGAGCCAGCTCTGCTCTGTGATCTCCCTCTGAGACTCAGTGTCTGAAGCTGTGGAAAGGAGTGAGCTTTGTAAAGCACAGGGCTCGGTGCAGATGCAGCCCCAGCCCACCTTGGGAGAAGTAGTAGAGGCCCTGGCTTGCATCCTGCTGTCAGGACGACCCCTTAGCATGAGCAACAGGGGAGAAGTCATCCCAGGCCTTTAGGGGCAGCCGTAGTTGCCTGGGTGCCTGGGGATGGGTGGGGGTGTCACTGGGTCTGGGGGTGGGCGGCACTGTTCACTGAGCTGTCTCTCGTCTTCTCTATTCCTCCGGCTTCTCTCTCTGCCCCTTTGCCCTGCATTTGCCCTGGGTTTGGCCATGGGCAGTGCCGACATACGGCCCTTACGGTAGGTCTGCTCTTGCTCTGTCCGCATGTCTGTCTTGCACGTCAGTTATGGTCCTGTCACAGGCATGCTCTCCTCTGTGTCCTTGTGTCGTCCTGGATGGGAGAGCCCAGGGCACCCTCCTGTCAAGGACTGCCCACTGTAAATCTTACCTGCTTTCGCCCTAGTCTCTTATCGTTTTGAAACGTACCCTGGGTTTTGGGGCACAGTGCCCATTAAGGGATGGCAGGGGCATTTAGTGAGGTTCCTAAGACAGAACACAGATGGTGAAGAGACTCTTGGGTCCAGGGTTGAGCACCTCCCCCCAGGTTGGTTTGACGGCCTGGGCTGCCCTCCTCCCACTGCCAGCTTGTGGGGGCACATCTTCTGAGGATGAGCTGGAAGTGAGACAGGGTAACAAGCTCCTGCCCTTTCAGAGGGGCATTCCAAAGGCCAGCCTGCTCCTATGTCACCTCTGGTCCAGGAACCCTTTTGAGGGGTAGGGAGGACCATGGCCTGGCATTGTGGAACTTGGAGTATTCTAGTTAACTACCTGTGGCTGCCCCATCTCCACCCAGCTCCTTCCCACCTATGAGCCTTGTTTGAGGGGTGACTTGCCTCAGCTCCTCTGTCATAATTTCTCCTCAGAGCTCTCCATTCCCACTCTCAGTCAGCAGAGAAGTCACTGCTATCCTGCCCCTTCTCATATCCTGGACTTGTTCTCTATCCCAAGAGGGATCAGATGATAGCGCTGGGGTGGGGTTGTCCCAGGAGAAGGAACAGAGGCTGAGTGGGCTTCCCTCTCTTTGCCCTGGCCCCTCATCCTGCTTGTCTCTTGCCTGCAGGCCGCTGCGCCCCCATGAAGAGCATCTCCAGCAGCCTCAAGGAGACCATGAACCCACATGACATCGTGCAGGATGCCATCCACAACTTCTCACCTGCCTACCAACAGTACACGCAGCAGTCCACGCTGGAGCCCGGGCCCACCTGGCGTGGTGGCACCCACAGTCTCTCGCGTTCCCACAGCCTTAGCGGCGCCCGTGACAACGAGAAGACTCTGCTGCTTAGCTCTGATGATGAGTTCTAGATGTGGGCACTGGTGGGGAAGGAGAGGTGCCTCACCAGGGCCTGCCGGGCCTCCTCTAGCCTTCAGCCAGGCTGGGGGAGGATGGCCAGCACAGCTTTGCTGTTGTCCTTTATTTATTGGACCGGAAACATATCGCTTCCAGAGGAACAGGCCTCCGGGAACTTGTATACATGGCCAAGCCTGCACTACCCAGGATAGGAGCAGAGGGTACTGGCTGCAGCTCCCACACCTCTGTTGCCCGTCCTGAGCTGGTGGCATGCTGGAACCAGCTGTGCCTGGGCCCAAATGCTTGTGTGTGTTGGCCAGAAGCTGCCGCCTATGCCCCCTCTTCCTCAAGACATCTGCTGAGGCTGTCAGGCCAGTTTGCCCCATACCGTGCAATACCCAGACCCCGTACTGGTCTCTTCTCACCTGTGCCCCTCCCTGTCCACCTTTGTCCAATATAAGAGTTGTCTCACTCCAGGCAGGAGGAAGGGACATGGATGCTTGGTGGAAACCCTCCCCCTGACCCCACCTCACCTAAGCCTGCCTGGCCTGCTGCAAAGATCAGAGCCAGACCCCAGGAGCCTCGGGGCTCAGCTAGGAAGGGTGCCTCTGTGCCTGTGGGCCCTTCTGGTAACACATGGGGCTCTGGGTGTCTTTACTGTGGCCACTCAGCCTGCCTCTTGTCCCTTCCTCCTGGCCTGCCTAGGACAGCCAGCAGCCCACACTGCCCTCTCACTTGGGTCCAGCTCTTGATAGTTTGGGGTAGAACCCCCGACTTCCTGACTCCTCCAGGTCCTGTGCTCTCTATCTCCTCCCTAATGGAGCAGTCAGATCTCTGCTGGGTCCTGGTCTCTCCCTGAGGTTTGTCTGTCCTGGGTCAGGGGAAAGGTCTAAGTTTCCACATTTCAGACCAGCTTCCAGGGGAGGCTAGAGGGATGGTCTGCAGTGGGGGCCAAGGTGGGGGTCCCCTGGCCATAGGGCTTGTATTCTGCCTCATCTGGCCCCCAGCCCGTCTCTTCTGTGCCTTAAGTCACATATGAAAGCCCCCTCTCCAGCCCTCAGTCTGTCCCAGGCACCTCTAGGGGCTCCTTACTCAGCTGCTGGCACTCAGGATACTGCAGTACTGGGTCAGGCACCCACAGCCAGGCCTCAGGAATGGCTGGGACTACCCATTCCCTTCCTTGATATCCTCTGCACCCACATCCCCAATCCTTCCAGGGCTGGGACCCCAGGTAAGCCTATGCCAGCCACTCTCCTACAAAGAGCCCTTCCCCCAAGATGGGACAGCAGGGGACCTGGCTGGTGGAACCCAGGCAGTGCTTGGGTTTGGGCTGCAGTAGCTTCTGGAAGTAGACTAATGAGGGAGAAGGAAGGGCCCCACCTTTTGGCCTTCACTGGAAGCTCTTCCTTTGGTTACTTCTAGAGCAAACATTCCCTGGGGTTTGCTGGGAGGGACCTTATGGGACAGTTTCATCCCAGCAACCTTCCAGCCTCCTCCTCTCTCATGGCCCAGAGGCCAGTATGCCAGAGGCCAGCTCTCAGCCCTACCTGGTGGGCCTGGCCAATGGGTCCCAAGCTGCCCAGGAAGGCAGCTGGCAGGTGGGAGCTGCTTGGGGAGTGGCTCAGGCCCCCCCTGTGCCTGCTCTCACCAATCTATTTCGCTCTCCTTCCAGGCCAAAGTGCGTTGCTGACTCCTGTCCCCACTGGTCCCTGCCCACTTTGGCGCTTGCCCACTAGCATGACGGGTGGGGCTGGGGGGAAGCTCAGTGGCAGGGTTGAGGTCATGGGGACAGGAACCTGTGCCCAACTGCTCCATCCACTCCTTCCTAGGATGCATAACCTATCTTGTCTCATTTATTTTTTATTTTTTTTCCAGATAGAGTAGCTCTTTGTACATAAAAAAATACTTGAAAATTAATTGTATGATTTATGAGAAGACAGAGCCCCCTAGTTTTGTAATTCGTATGATTGCCACAAGTTCCACCAGAAAGCCACTCTATTTTGGTCTCTGTGATATTTTAAATGTGTGACAGAAGTGAGCAAATAAAATCAGGAAGAAATATATATATATATATATATATAAGATAATATAGATTGTATTGAAATCTCTTCTGCCTGCAAGTGACTTTTTTTCCCTGCCCCCCTCTTGACTGGGAGATGTGTGGTAGGGCACGATGTCCACCCTCTTCCTGTGTGTGCTGTGTAAGTCATGTGTTCACATTTACAGGGACTAAAGTCAGGTTCCAAGCCCCCATTGGACAGTGTCTGCCTTCTGCACAACCATCCTGTCCCAGCGTGGGGAGTTTCCTTCACCACACCCCTTGAGGACTGATGCACCTCATTCCCTATTTTGCCAACTAGGTAGGTGGGGACATTTTTGAATGATGTCTCAGGAAATTAGAGACTCAGGGATCCCCTTTTTAGGCTTCTTGCTTCTCTGAGCCCATTCTCTATCCTGGAACCTCAGGAACCAGGAGGCCTGTGCCAAGGGTACTGGGCCGTGGGCACCTTCCCTCCACCCGCATGCCTTTCTGAGGCCTGGCCTGTCGCTGAGTGGATCAGATCGGATTGGCAGGAATGCAGTGTGGGCAGGGGAAATTCCAGCCAGCCTGAAACCCGGAGGTAAACACTTGTCCCTCTATGCCGCCCCCCCCCTCCCCGTTCACTGCTGCAGGCCTGAGCTCAGCATTTCAGAATGGAGTCCTGGTACAGCCTCCACCTGAGGGAGGGAAAGCTCTGGGCCCAGCCAAACCATGTGGTTTGGCCCTTTGCTACACTCTACTCTGCCCCCTTCCCTTGGCCCCACCATCTCTCCCTGCCCAGACATATACATGGTCCTCACCCCGGTCTTATGGGACTGCTAATATTTGTTATGCTCCTAAAGCCTGCAGTCCTGGCTTTCCTAGACAATGCCTCTACAGCACCTTCATTAGATAGTAAACTGAGATTGAGAAACCAGCTAAGTACCTCCTAGGGAAAGACCATTTGGGTTGAAACTCTGATTCCCTTGACAAGACCACTGTATTCCATTCCTCAGGAGGCTGGACAGAGGGCTGACAGAGTATGGAGCCTGGGACGAGACCCAAGATTGGGCCTTCGAGAACATAGGAGTGTATTTCCCACTGAGCAATAGAAGATCCTGTTTGAAAGTGCAAGAAAGATTGCTCCAAAATCTAAGACTTTCCCTCTCTGGGTGAGACTGTGCAGACTATTCTTGAATACTGTGTGAACGCTACCCTGCCCTGTCCTGTCTCACCCCCACCCCTATACCCGTCTTCAGAAGGTAGCAGTGGCGTTCAGCTTTTCATCCACCGAAGGGTCCTGACCACCCATCACAGGCCACTCATTGAGAACATATACAAAACACAGCCCAGGACATACAGTTCTCTGTGGAAAAAGAGAACTTGACTTTATTCAGAAAGTCTATAAAATACACAAGGCAGATAACTGGCTCACTTTAAGTCAGAAAATAAATAAATTCTGGGGGCTGGGCAATTTTTTTAAAAAAATTTTGTTATTGCCATCCCAGCTTTCCCTAAATATAAAGTAAAATGTGATTTATTTGTAGATACAAAATATAAAGTCCAGCTCAGAACTCATACATTTCCCAAGGAACAGGCACTGGGCTCTGGCTGGGGAGAATAACTTAGGTTCGTGCAATAAATAAAGAGTGGGGAAGGGCAGCTGTATACAGTGTTGAGGGGGGGTGCTGGGCCAGACTTCCCAGGAGACCATTGACCAGCTCCCACCCCACCATGGATACTCGGGGTCAAAGTGAAAATTACAAGAACACTCCAACATACACCCTGCTTTGGGATGTCTACCTGCCACAGTGATCACCTTCCTTGTCCCTTCTCTTTGGCTGGCCAGCCACCTCCAGGGCCCCTGGCTGCCACAGGCAGAGCCCAGGGGTGGTCCTTCCGTCCCCACCTTCCCTGTCACTTTCTCTCTCCCTCTGCTTCTCTCCTGCCATGTAGCACTGTCTCCCAGGTCACGGAGGCCCTCCCGCGACTTCTTCGGTCCTTGTCCACTGTCCCCCTGTGAAATCCATGGCTGGCACGTTAGGACAGCAATGGGAAGACCCGGCTTTGGGTTCCAGAGTAAGCGCTGTGGCTGTGGGCACTGTTTTGACTACTTCCCCATCTGTTAATTGAGCTTCACTGGTTTCCAAAGGCTCTCCTAGCTTGGGAAAGGCTGGCGTTCCCAGGCCCCAAGTAGAGGTGGGAGGTCTTTGGAGTTCAGCTTCCCAGCATCGCAGGGCCACACCCAGTCCTGAATCCTGGGAGGGTGGGAAGGGCATAATTGGCATCATCCAAAGCCTCTTCGTCCTTTCCCCTCTCCCACCAGTCTCAGAGGAGCCATCTCTATTCCTTCCAATCTTCCAATCTTTCAGCCCAGGGAGCCCCAGAACCCCAACACCTCCAACCTAGCAAAGCTGTCCCTCTCCAGAGCCATCAGGTCCTAGTTTGGGGGCCTGCAAAAGGAAGACAGAGCCCAGGAAAGGAATGTGGGTTCACCACAGGGGATAGTGGTGGCAGAGAAAGGGGACCCTGGGAACAGATAAGTGCTTAGGCACTTTGGAAAGGGCGCGGGTCCGAGGGGGCGTGGCTTGGAGAAGGGGTGGGGCTAGGAGGGTGGGGGTTGGCACTAGGAGCAGGCGGCGGGAGCGGGGTCTGGACTAGGGGCGGGGCCGGGGCCCGGTGCGGACTTGACAATGGTGATGACACTGGCTGGAGCCACGAGCGCCGCGGGCCCACGAGAGGCGGCCACGGAGCGCGCGAAGCCCTGCAGCGCCTCGCACTTGCCGCGCAGCGCATCGAGCTCCAGGCGCATGGCTGCGTTCTCGCGCGCCAGCTTGTCCACCTCGCGCTCCAGCTCGGACTTCTGCTTTTGCAGCTCCTCCTTCTGGCACACGCGCTTCACGCGGCAGCTGGCTGCGTAGCCGCGGTTCTTGAGCGTGCGGCGCCGCTGCTTCAGCCGCGTCACCTCCTCGGCCGACAGCCCGCGCAGGTTCCGGTTCAGCTCCCGCACCGACAGCCCCATCAATGCCTCGTCCGACAGGTGCGGTGTGTTTTCGCTCAGCTCGCGCTTGACCTGCGGGGGCCATGGGGAAACTGAGGCACGGAGCCCTGAGCCTGGCACGCAGCGGGTGCTGGGGACGCCGCCCCTCTTCCCATTGCACCCCCTTGCACTTGATCCAAGACTTTGAAGATGAGCAGGAATTCGGAGAGGGGAAACCAGGCCAAACCAGAACCAGCACCCAAAAGGAGGCCACCCGGGACTCGGACAGAATCTAACCAAGCGTCAAGTCCTGGACTTAGATGAGAAACCCAGTCTGGAAAGCACCTTCTAAAGGGGAAGCAGTGCCCAGCCTGTGTAGGCCGACGCTGCAGAGGCCCCCTTGGGGATCCTAGGAAGGAAAGGGGAACTTGGGATGTGGGGGCTTTGGCAGGACCACGGGAGCTGGTTCCTCACCTTCAAGGCTTTGCTGGATAGGGGATCCACTGACATTTTTGCCAAAGAAAGGTGTCCTTTGCGCTGGAGTCCTAGGAGAGAAAGGAGCTCAGGATCACCTTGGTTGGTTGACGTTTGTTTTCTCCACTTAGAGTAAAATCCAACCTTGCAACCTTGATACCTTGGTTTTCAAGCCCCGCCCCGCCTCCGCAGGTCTCTGAACTCATTCCTACCTCCTCTGACCCCCCCGCAGTCCAGCCTCGGGGCCCAATGCTCTTTCTGTTCTCCCAGCTCCCCATATTGACTCATTATCTAGGTCTCTGGTCAACGCTACCTCTTTGGAGAGGTCCTCTGACCACTATGGCTGACCCAACACTGCCTTCTGTCACATCAACCCCTATTCTGCTGAGACCTGGCAGTAAGTCCTCAATAAATACAAATCAAGGGGGTGGACACTCCTCCCAATTCCCATTCTTCCACATGGGGCCAGGACATACAAACACTGAGTGTGGTTTATTTTTATTATATTTGTGTGTGGTGCACCTGAGCCACAGCACTTGTGTGAAGGTCAGAAGAAACAACTCTTGGAAGTTCTCCTCTTCCACCTGTGAGTCCAGCAGGGCTCAATCTCTGATCTTCAGCCTTAGGAGCAAGCAGTTTTACCTACTGAGCCATTTCATTGGTGCTGGGTTTTTTAAAATATTTTATTTTACATGTATGAGTGTTTTGCTTTGCATGTATGTAAGTATACCACATACATGCATGGGGTGCCTGTAGAGGCCAGAAGAGGGCACTGGGTCCCTGGAACTGGAGTCAAGGTTGTTAGCTATCATGTGGGTGCTAGGAAGCAGTCCCTGTCCTCTGCAAGAACAGCCAGTGCTCTTAACCACTGAACCATCTCTCCAGCCCTGTTTGGTTGGTTGGTTTGGGTTTTTGTTTTTTTTTTAGGTTGGTTGGTTGGGGCTTTTTTTTTTTTTTTGTTTGGTGGTGGTATTGTTGTTGTTGTTGTTATCTTTTTTGAGACAGGGTCTCCCTGTAGCCCCAGCTGGCCTGGCCTAGGACTCACTACATAGACCAGGCTGTCCTCCATCTCACAGAGATCAATCATCTGCCCTTAAAGGCGTGCACCACCACTCCTGGTTCCTGTTTGTTTTGAAACTGAGGCTGGCTTCAAACTTAATATCCTGTCTCTGCCTCCTGAGTGCTGAGATTATAGGCATGTACCATTACACCTGGATGTGGGTTTGATTTGATTTTTTTCATTAAAGTGTAACTGACCCACAGATGCATGCACAAGACACGTGTGCACATCAATGATCTCTCAAAATCTATCCAGCACTCCATCAAGATACAATACCCCAATCCCCTTCCCAGCAGCCCTCATCCATCTGTTTTGGGCAGGCTTCCTGAACTGCCTGAGGGCTGCACAGTTCTAACTCAGCATGCCCCTAGAGGGTGTGGCAGCTGTCCTAGCCTGGAGTGAGCCCCAGACCTCCCCCATGGACCTGGAACAACTATTTTTCAGGTAGTTATAGTTTGCCAGGTATGTGCCTGGCACTGGGGAGACAGGTGAACAAAAACCCGGAGGGAGGCTGGGCATAGTGATGCATACCTGTAATTCCTGCACTTAGGAGGTAAAGGATTAGGAGTTCAAAGCCAGTGTTGGCTACATAGCAAGTTTGAGACCAGCCTGGGTTACATGAGATCCTGTCTCAAAAACAAACAGGGACTAGGGAGATGGCTCAGGGGTTAAGAGCACGGGCTGCTCTTGCAAAGGACCTGGGTTCAGTTCCCAGCACTCACAAGGCGGCTAACACACATCTGTAATGCCAGTTCCAAGAGATCTGATGCCCTCTTCTGGCCTCTGTGGATACTGCATGCACATGATGTACTTACATACATTCAGGCAAAATATACAATTAAAAAATAAATAAATCTTTAAAAACAAACTCATGGAAGAGACAATTAAGGGGTCAGTGGTAATTGCTCTGGGCTCATGTTTCAAAGGCAGAGATTCTCTGCCCCAATGTATGGGATTCCCATTTCATCATGAGCCTGGGTTTTCTCATAGATAACCCCCAGGGGAGGGGTGGTGGTAAGAAGGGCAGAGAAGGAAGGTGGAGTGGCACCGAGTATGGTATCATTAGCAGTGCCCATACTGATACAGCAGGGGTGGAAACCAGGCAGGCCCTGGTTTCCTGAGCTGACTGTGAGGCTGACATCCCTCTGACACTTTCTGGCAGGAACCTTGTGTCTTAAGGGGACACTAGAGATGAACGAAAAGCACATCAGATACGGGGGCCTTTGGGGGCCCCATTCACTAGCCCTGCGACTCTGGCAAGCCAGTGCGTCTCTGTGCTCTCACTTCCCCCTGGATGACATACAATAGTTGGGTATTGCTAAGGTCACCTAACTGTCTCAGACTCCTTCCATGTCTCCTGTGTCATCTAGTCATCAAGTCATAGCAGCCACCACAGGTGCCAGACATTCTCCCTGTACTCACCTCTGACTTTAGCTTGTGCTGGCTGCCCCTGCTCTGCTCAGCCATGCCCAACTCCTGGCCAGTCCTCAGACATACCTTGCACTCCTCCTCAGGGCCTTTGCACAGGCTGTGCCCCTTAGCATGCCTCTTCAGTAGACAGCCCCACCAGAGTTTGTTTCTTCATGTGGTCAGAATCCCTAGCCCCCAGTACATGCACCTGCACCTATGCTTGTCCCCCACCCAACTGTTTTCTCTACAGCATTGTTGCTCTAAAGAATCATTCCTAGAGCTGGGTATGGTGGCACACAATTCCAGTGCTAGGGAGGCAGAGGCATGTGGATCTCTGTGAGTTCCAGGCCAGCCAGGTCTACCCAGTGAGAGTCTGTCTCAAAAACAAAACAAAAGTCTTTCTAATCAGGACGTGCATTTGAGGGCTGGAGAGATGCCTCAGTGGTTAAGAGCACTTGCTGCTTTTGCGGAGCACCTGGGTTTGGTTCCCAGCACCCATAATGGCAGTTCACAACTACCTGCAACTCCAGTTCCAAGGGATCTAGTGCCCCCTTCTGGTCTCTGCAGGCACCAGGCATGCATGCAGTACACATATATACATGCAGACAAAACACTCATACTCAAAATAAAAATAAATAAAACTTAAAAAAATAATCATTGGGCTGGGAAGATGGGTCAGCAGTTAAACACCCTTCATGAGTAAGTATGATGCCCAAAGTTTGAATCCCCAGCACCATGTAAATGCTGGGCCAGTGTGGGGCCTACCTGTAATCCCAGCACAAGGGAGGTGGAACTGAGTTCCCCTGAGCAAGCTGGTTTACTAGACTAGCCAATTTGGGAGCTCAGGGTTCATATACAATGGAAAGCAATCAAGGAGGACATATGCATGGGACATATGCACATGAGCCCATACATATGAACACACACACAAAGAATCATTACCACTCATGTACATGCCACATTTTGTGCAGTATCTGTCTGCCCTGGGAGAATGCCCCCTGTCTGAAGGCAAAGGCCTGGTTGCAACCTCTGTGGTTTCCCCAGAACTGAGCAGATGCTCATGTAGTGACCATGGAATTCTCAATGTGACTTGGGCAGAGGCGGGGACAGTCTGGGGTTTCTCGGGAACTCCCACATGGCCAGGGGTCTGGCAGCACAGACAGCAGGAAGGAGTGGGACAGGAAAAGGAAGCTGGCCATTCAAGACACTCCTGACAGAGATGGCCACTCAGGCCTGGGTCTAAGAGGGTGTCAAGAGGCCTGCTGGGGGTGAAGGTGCAGGTCTGGACCCCAGCACTTGGGAGGATCGAGACAGGGGCATCCTTAGCTGCATCGTGAGTTCAAAGCCAGTCTTGGCTACATGAGAACCTGTCTCAAAAAAAAAACCAAAAAATGAAAAAGTGGGGCTGGAGAGATGGTTCCATGGTTAAGAGAACTAGCTGCTCTTGCAGAAGATCAGAGTTTGGTTCCCAGAACCCAACTCCAGTTTCAGGGATCCAACTCCCTCTTCTGACCTCTATGGGCTTTACACACACAGTGCACTCACATACATGCAGGCAAAACACCCATACACATAAAACAAAAGGGGGTTGAAGAGATGGTGCAGCAGTTAAGAACTCTTGTTGCTCTTGCAGAGGACTAGGTTCAGATCCCAGCACCCATGTGGCAGCTTTAACTCCAGCTCCAAGGATCTGACACCCTCGGGCCTCCCCCAACACCACATATATGTGATATACTTATGTACATGCAGGCAAAACACTCATACATATAATTTTATTAAAAGGGTGGGGCTGGTGACACATGCCTTTAATCCCAGCACTCAGAAAGCAGAGGTAGGTAGATCTCTGAGTTCTAGGCCAGCCAAAGCTACATAGTGAGACCCTGAATCAATCAATCAATCAATCAATCAATCAATCAATCAATCAATCAATCAAAGCCCAAAAGAGCCACCAGGCCTGTAATCTCAGGGCTGATGAGGCTGAAGCAGGAAGATCACAATTTTGAGTCTGCCTGTGGCTGCAGAGAGTTCAAGGACAGCCTAGGCTACATAGCAAGACCCTATCTCCACAACACTCAAGGCCAGCCTGGGCTCCAAAGCAAGACCTATTTCCACAACACAACAAAATGCCACCATACTTCTAGTATATCAGAAGAAACATCACCCCATGCCAGATTGGGACTCAGTTCCAGGCTTTCTGTGCTGACTGAGGCTGAAAGGAGTCCACTTCACAGAGGGGTCTGGAACTTGTGGCAATCCTTCTACCTCAGTCTCCCAAGTGCTGGGATTACAGATGTGAGCCACTATGCCCAGCTGCAGTGACATCCTTTGAATAGTCACCTGCCTGAGCCACACATTGGGGGAGGTCTCAGCTCCTGTTCCCACAGCAGTGGAAGGATCTTTCCACCATGTAAACTTGACATGCCACCGCTCACATGGACACCTCCCATGGGTCTCTATTAGCCTGAGGGCGGGGTCCAGCTACCACACAGTACCCTAAGCAGGCCCTGTGCCCAGCCCCACCCTGCTTCCCACCAGCCTGCCTCTCTTCTGCCTCTGGTCTGGAGGAATCTCTTTCATTTCCTCCCACTCTTCCTTTCTGGC